AAAAAAAAAAAAATCTAACACTGCTCCAGAAGCACAGCAACTGGGGAGTCAGGAAAGGTCTGTAAGAAACCCAGTCATATTTCTGCAACACCTGCTAGCAAGGGGTCCTCATTGGCTCTCAGTGAAAACTTAGTTTGTCTAAACCTGGAAGCTGATCAGAGCACACTGAGTGGCAATTTTAAAGAAAAGACTGACTATTCTGGTTAACTCTTGTTGGCAGAAGAGTCAGGATTAGAGCCTCTCTGCCATACTATTTTCATGCTTCAGCTTGACTATTTTAAAATGTTAGAAAAATGCCAAATAATTAGATTTACAGAAATTGGGAAATTTTACTTTTACTTCTCATTTTACAGAAGTGTTATTAAAAGTTAGAAAATAAGTCCTAACTTCTAAAAGCACCTTTTATCTAATTCTGCACATCTATTTGTTCAATTAAATATATAACAACAGTTTAATCATTTCTCTCTTGCAATTAGGTTAAGAAAAGAAGGCAGGTAGATTTGTACATTGTTGGTCTGTCAAGCATGATTTCTCAAAGATTTCTCCCTAAAAATTAAAGTGTATGCTTATTCACTTACGATCTGTGTGACTGAAGGCTTTGTATTCAATATAAAACCCTCTGTGTGTGACCAATTCATCGGAATGGAAGTTGATTGCGACAGAATAGCCGTATTCTCTGTTTCTGTTGTTTTCTGAAAGACTTTTACAGTATCTAGCAAGGCAAAAGTGAGAATAATTAATTTCTAACCAAACTGACCGTTACCATCTGGCTACCTCTCCTTTTACTGAAGGGTACCAATGCCAAAAAGCTTTAAACCAATACAATAAAGATCAGCTATTTTTTTAGCGTTAAAACAGCTCAACAGAAGTATTAGAAAGTCTATTTACAAATGCCTTCCACTCCACAACTTTTCTGGGACTAGCAGACTGCAAAACAAAATACAGCAAGATGATCAATGTCAGAATCTACCTTATAAATACAAACCACTTGTCAGTGTGCTTGATTTCAGATTTCCCGTTTAGGTTTGCAAACCCAGAAGGCTACAAATCCAGTAATGGAGTCATACAGCCAAATCCAACAGCTGTTGCTGGTTTCAATACGCTCTTTCCAAAAGACAAATCACTCTGAGTATTTTTTTTGTTGAGGTTTTTTTGTTCGGTTTTAATTTGTTTTGGCTTCTTGTAAGCACACATATTTCAATCTGTTTTATTTACAGAAAAGAATTGCATTCACCGAAGAGTAAGTGGTATAGAAAATGAAACTTCAGATGATGCAAGCTCTTCACCCATGTCAAGACCTCTGCCAGGAATTTACAGTTCAACTGCAGCTGTGTAAAATCCTGCAGTTTTCTACGTCATTGCTCTTACAGGGAACAACAAAGTAAGTAAATGCCTAACAGCGGAAAAAGCAGTATGCTTAACTTAACATGATGACAAATGCTCGGTACTAGGGCACGGTTAAAAACATTATTCTGCCAAAATTTAGTGGAAGCGTGCCAATTCTTGTTGAAATGTATCTTTCTGCAGTGGAAGCAGTGAGATCTTTTTTCTTAAGAACATTATGTTGTGCAGAACATCAAAGTGCAAATTAGTCTGTCAGAAAATAGTGTATTTACTCACCTAACCCCATCAATCTCTAACCAGTCTTTATCACATTTACTGGACCCTGGAGACTTCTCTTGAATTTGTATTAAAAGGATTTTTAATGAGAGCTTGTAGCCAGGCAATGGTGCCTAAAAATCAAAGGATAAATATCCTGACATACATCCACGAAATGAAAAGACTTGTGCTTCTAAGATGGAAAATCTTCTTTTACTTGTTATCAGTCTGAAAATACTGCATTTTTTATGATGCAAATAAGCACCTTTGGAGAACCAAAAACCTTTCTATTTTTTAGACCCAACTTTAGCCAGACTGCCAGATAAAGGAGCGTAAGCCTTCCTGCAGCCAGCATGAAGCACTATATCTGAGGTTCATGCTATGTTTGTACTGCCATGTGTTCCTGTAGGGGATATAAGAGATTTAAGACATCTATAGCAGCTGGTCACTCAACTGCATTAGCTACGACCTCTCTGTTTTAGAAAGCCTTCTTTCCTGCATACAGATGAGATTTTGTGCTACAAGCTGCTAATAATTTCCATTGAGCAGGTGAAAGGTAGAGACTGTTACCAACTCATAGACATGAAGAACATCGTTTTCCAGGGAAGGTCAAAAAAAGTAGTGAAATGCTTAATGGAGCAACAGATAAACACACCGGGAAGTTGGTGTAAATCATGAACAGAGTCTAAGTCTTGCCAGAATTCCAGAGCTGAATTTCTGAGTGAGAGAAGGTCCTGTTTTCTGCAGAGTTCAGGCAAATACAGTGTGATCTCCACCATATGAGGTGTGATTTACATGAACATCTTTTTTTTCTTTCTGACATAGAAGCAAAGCTCTGACTATTAACAATTTTCTCTGGCTGCTAGGAGTTGTCATCTTACCCATCACTTTGTTTCTGTCAGGAATAATACCCAACCTTTTGGAAGCTGGCAATGTTTCCCTCCCATAGCTGGCACTTGTACATAAGACAGGAAAGAAATGGTGCCTGAGAGGCAGTCAGGTGCAGAGGTCTTCATGTGTTTTCCCTTCATCTCACCCACACTGAAAGCCATTTCTCCCAATTTTACATCTATATCACATAAAGCAAAGTCATTGCTACTCAGAATAGTTCCCAGCACTTACTCTGATGATCCAGCTGCAGTCAATATTTGGTGGGTAGTAACTTGGGTAATAAGGAGAACTCAGTGTCCCGTTCCAGGAAATATAATGACCACCACACACTGGGAGAGAAATATATCAGCAAGGAACACAATTATCTCAGCTGGGCTAACGTACAGAGCCTGCTTCACTTGCTAGGACCCTCTATATACAGAGCTAGAAGAATGGGTTGTGCCACTATTAAACTCAGGTTTTGTCTGTATTAACAGAAAAACATGTAACTACCGCTTCCCCATCACTCTGAATTTCTCTTATTTTGGGAACAAATTTCAATTAAGGATAAGCACAAAACACTTCTGTCTGGGTTTTTTTTAAAAACAATCTTTCATGGTAAGTGGAAGAAGCAATTAAATGTGGACACAGCAGACGTCACCTTTCCAATTTACTTCTGACCTTTCTGTAGACATTTTCAAAAATTAAAACCCAATTAGCCCAATGAAGTGAAACCTCTGATTAATTTCACGTAAACTGGGAATTTTGTGTGTCAGTTCTCAGTCTGAAAATTAATGACACATTTGAACGATATCTTTGAGGTTTTATTTTCTACCAAGAACTCTCCTAGATATCCAGTCTTCAGTACTTTTGGTTTCCTTTAGGTAACATGGTAAATGCAAATATGAGTATAACAGAAATTGAGACAATTTTGGAAACAGCAAAATTTTGTGGCAAAACCTGAGCTATACATCATTTGGAGTGCCCATCTTCAGAACAATGAAGCAATTGTAATGTGTAATGTGCATGAGATGACTATTTGCCTAAGCAGTACCCATAGAGACATACTAACCTCTATGATTTCTTCCACAAGTTAAAAAAATGTTACTTGCTTAATCATCAAAATATTTTCTCTTAGACCTTACCAAACAACTGAGGCTAAACTTTCACTGTGAAGCCCCTATGTCTCCTGTAAAATACTATGGTTTATTGTTATTCAAAATATTTCACTAATCACCCAGAACTCCTGCCAATTTCACAGTACTGTGTAGGCTTGGAATAGACTTCTTGGGTCTTGAATACACTTTTCTTACGCAGTTAACTACACTGAACCGTGCTTTCAGAAAAGGATCAAAGACACATTAGAAGTACGTCTTTGCTCTTGTTTTTCCATTTTCATTAAAACCTCATTCCCCAAGCTGGGGATAGATTGACAAAACTGATAAGAGTGCTGCTCTGCCACTGGGGCTATCTAACTTTGGCTAGACATATAGTGCCTGCAGTGCTATCTGGCTGGCTGCTCTGTTACCATTGCTCAGTGTTACCCATGTAGTAAGACTAATGTCTGGGAAAGATGGCTTGGGTAGTAATAAGGAAGACAAAAAAATCTCCCAGACTTAAGGATATTCTCTATTCTCTGTTCAGTTCTCAGACTTTTTTTTTTTTTTTTAAGTGGATCAGAACAACATCTCTGACTTATATGCCAACATTCCCTTCCCCCTGATATGTTCAGGCAAAATCAACTTTTTTAGAGGCAACAAGAGAAATAAGTGCGCTTACATCAGATGTTTTTTTCTGTTAATTACTCACTGATTTTAGGAACAGCTTGAAAGTGAGCTTTTAATACGTTGCTTTCTTCTCTTTGGTGCAGTGAGAAGGTAAGCAACATTACATTACTTGATGAAGTTAAACGTACAACAGGAGTAGTCCAGGCTCCAGGTCCACACCATCTGAAATATTACCAAAATTGCATTAAAAAAATAAAAATTCCCACATTGCAGTCATCTTTGCTGAGAAACTGGGCAGAAGTAACACTGCTCTGGTCATCTGTGCTTCAGAGGTATGCCCCTGGCTACCACTTCCCTTTCATTGTTCCACTCAATTGATACTACATGAGATGCTAGAGTTTCCCAGGATTGAGAATGAGTTACTCAGGGTGAACATCACAGATATTGCTGCCTAATGGGTGCCCTGGAGTTTTCAGATCTGTAGAAGCATCAAAAAGGCAGTGCCAGATTATGTTACTTCAGTAATGATAGTGGTACTGAGTAGTAGTGGGCAGCACCAAAAGGCAACAAGTGCCAGTGCAGCAGTGTTGTGCAGCATCTATGCAACAGGCAATAAGCCCAAAGCATTTCCAATCTATTGACATTCAGCTTGGTTTCATGTCACAACAGCTGTCCCACAAAGATGTGGAGCCCCATGCATGGCAACTATCTCTTCTTATTGTTCTTCTTTTGTTTAAATAATGATGAGTTAATTTATATCCTGAAGCTTGAATACTTACTAACACTTGTAATTTGAGATGCTATTTCTTGCATCTGTAAATTCACTTTTATATTTCTTCCATTTTGAAATCCAGACCATATTTTGGATTTCTTTTCATTAATTTACAAATCCACATGTGAAAAGTTAACAGCTTTCTCTCTTTTTCTATGCACAGCAAGTTAAAACAGTTAAGATCAGACCTCATAAGAGAACATTTTCATCACACTCCTGCATCAAGTTCTTTGACTTGTCACTGAGATCCAGGGTGGCAGCACTGAAAGCAAATTTTTGAATCTTAAACTAAAAGTAGTCTTCTTTTGCTTTTAGCAGGCTGTTCCTCATTTCATGTGAGACACTAGATAATGGATCTGTGGCTTGATTCTCTTTTGCAGACATTTTAAAATCCTTATAATCATAATACCTTTCAAATTCTTTATAAAATGAACAATTTGCATCCCCTCCCCACTGCCACATGGAAATCTTTCAGCATCTTGATCTTTTACCCAGTTGACAGCCTGGATTATCTTCTAGCTATAACATTTGTCACAGTATCTTCAGAAAAGCAAGGCAAGCACATATGAGAAGAGTTCTCCATGAGACATCTGCTTCTACAGTACATCTCACAATCTCAGCTCACTGTTTAGTGTTTGTCACTGAACAGCTGTATTACTGCACTTTACAGAAACTGAGGAGAATCTTTTTAGTCACTGCGTGTGATCCCAGCACAGGATGTCAGGGAATAGTGGCTACAAGACAATAATTCCTGGCTCTCATGGATATTGGAAATAATATTATTAGTTCTACTGCATCTGTCCTAAGTATGTGACTAGCTGCTTTTAGCTTAAGTAGAAAAATTATAAGCATATGCAAAGCGACACATTTGCTAGGCTGGCAATAAAAGTAACCAAAAAAGTCAACTTTTTTGGAGGTACGATAGGGCTTTTAACATCATTTCAGTCACCAAGTTCTGTTCCAGTCCTTTGATAGACAGACACCAACGCACATTCTTGAACTTTTTATTTTACAGCTTACTGCATTGATGTTCTCTGAACATGCTACATCATACACCTGTGTCGGTTTTGCTAGCTTCCAGGTGTTTTCATGCGCATGACCAGCTATGCTTCTGGTTCCTAAAAAGCTGAGCCATTGCTAATAAGGCACAATGGAGTAACAGTCCCAGCAATAACCCATAGTCAGCAGCAGAGCAGATGCATTCCAGCATCAGGAATGAGATTCTCCATGCTATGCTACAATCTGAAACTAACTCCTTACAAAAACCCTGTGCTCACTCCATGCCTGGCTTTCTGACAGTCTGCCAACACTGGCAAGCTCTTCTTGCATAAGGATAGAGACAAAAGTCTGTTAATAGAGCTGAAGAGGACTACCTACCCATTTGAAGTAAGCTAAAGCACTTTTAAATAAGTACATTTCAGACACCACTAACTGAACCTGCATGCTCAGCCAGCCTCTTCCTAAAAGTTCTTTAAAAAAAAAAAAAATTCCCCCTCAGATTCTAAAACTTGTTTATTTTGTTAATGAAGACAGGTGGAGAACATGTCCATACATGAAATTTGACTCTGAAAAATGGGAGTAGTGTGGCCACTAAAGGTTAGAAGATCATCTGATCTCACTTAGGCAAGTGGACTACACAGTGACTCAGGATGGAGCCTTCCATAGACACAAGACCCCTCTTACAAACAGGGATTTGCCTGTGACAGAACTGCCATAAAACATGTACTGTCTAAAAGTAGCAGAATACAATACTCTAAAAAAATTAAAGTCTGTATTGTTTTGAGTTGTGACAGTAATTGCATGAAATTGAAACTAGTAAAAATTAGTCATAATGTAGAATAAAACCCACAGGAATTTATAACCCATGGGGGAGGGGGGGAGGGAAAAACAAAATGGAAGTTCTTTTTATAGTCTTATACAAGATTTTTAATGAAGTTGTATTTGGAGTCTACATTTTGGAAGCCTGTTTGATATCATTTTGATATCATGACAGTTTCAGAGAGTTTCTGTACAGCTCAATAAAACATCTTTGTTCTGTACTATCATACCTTGTAATGATCTTGTTCTGCAGAGGAAGAAGGAAATCGTATGCTGATAAATGGTGTGAGGCACAGGTCTCTGGAGTGACACCATGCAAAGTGATAACTACCAGTCTCACCACATAGTTAGAAGGAACTCGCAGCCTCCATTGATAAAAAGACTTTTTGGGATTCATCAGAGTTAGAGTCCTGTTGTTACCTGGCTTGGCATACAGGTCAAAGGATACTGCTATACAAAAGAAGCTAGATCAGTAGCTGAAAAATTGTTAAGTTGAAAGATAAATTAAGTTATTCAGTAAAATTTCAGAAGAGGCGGCAACAATCACCTACACACACTTCTTGAGTACTCTAATCTCCTCTTCCCTTACTTTTACAGCTCTATTAACTTCTCCCTACCAGGCTGCACCACCTTCTCCCCCTGCTCTGGCCAAGGAAGCACAACACTTCACCACCATTGGATCATCATACACTCAGCAAGTAGGAGGGGACTTGGCTCCAACTGCTACCATCTCTGCTTGAAACCTACTGCCTCCTTCCCCATTTTCTCTTCACCCCCTCACCATGTGATGAGAACACTAAGAATATGAAGCCAATCTTTAGGTGTGCTTGATATGGAGAAACCAGGACTTAAATCTCTACAGTGTTTGACTGATCACTATGAATAACCAAAATTATCTTGTTACAAGGCAAATAAATTATGTATAATTTTATATAGTAGCTTTTTGAAAGATGCCAAGAAAAGGAGCCACAGCTCATTGCAATTCAATGGGAACTATTAAATTTCAAACATATTCTAGTCAGAATATCAGAATAAAAGCTGTAAACCATTTTCATATCAACCTTTATTTGAAGCACAGGCCAGGGAGGTCCCTAGTCTGGTTTAGTTCATAGGACCGACAGATATAAGAATAACTGGGAAACTGCCAGTTTTATGTTACAACATTTTTTTCCCCCAAAGTGATATTAGTTGGGATTCAAGAATAATTACCTGATTTTAGCATCACATCATATTCTGTGGAATCTGAAACTGAAATTTAATAACTGTCAGCTACACAAGTGAAAGACAAGAACTGGAGAAAGAAAAATAGACAGAATAGATATTAAATGACAGGTACATTGTTACCAAAAAGCTCCATTGCAACGAGATCAAAATCTTCCTCCCCAGAAGAGCTGAACATGTGAGCTGCTTGTTTACTACTGATTTCTTTTTGTTCCACTGGAGTTAACTTTTTAAGAGAAAACATCATATCTTGTGGTGCCCAGAATGTATTCCAGTAATAAGCTCGAAGTCCAGACTCTCCTTCACTGTAGAGGGAAAAAAATACATCATAAATACACTCCAATTAGTATTTTGGACATGCTTTCCACTGGTCTGCATTTTTGGTTCGCATAGTTTCATAGCCAGCTGAACTGCTGTGCAAAAAATTACGGCTGAACACAGTGGCAAAAAAGCTCTCTTGTTTAACAACTGCTTTTTCTATACAGTAGAAATACTTCAAAAATATGCTGCTTAAACAGTAAATACACTGAGGCTGAAAACTACACCTCACAGAAAATACTCACAATAATTTTTACAGAATTGGATGTTTCCATCCCTGCTACGTAATTATGCACTTTTAAGACCATATTACAGTTCTAGACACATTTTCATTAATACTTTTAACTGAGTCTCACACCATATGACAATATAATCTTACACCCATACATTGATACAACACTTCACACAACCCTTGTTAAAATAAACTGTATGCGTGCATATACAAAATATTACTTAAGTGATTCAAAGAGACAGTCCATCACACTCTTCCTTTCAAAATGGCCTAAGGATTATTCTTTCAGAAGTTTTCAAAGCCTATCAGGATAGTAGTAGCCATCTGCTCAGTGTATTTATATTTCTCACCAGGATCCTATGTAGAGTGCCCTGCCCAAAATTATACCTCTGAGTTTTGTTTTGAAGTTAGTTAGAAAGGAACTAAATTTAAATAGACAAAAGCAGAATAAGACTCTGAAAGTGGAAGAGGGGAAGAGAAAAAAAACCTTGCTGAACAGTGATTTCAAAAATCAAAAGTAGATGAATAGACTGCAAAGAACTCCATAAATCAAGGCGTGATTAATCAGACTTCATTTTTCTCACTGATTCTACAGGGCAAGACAGATATCACACTATTAGCTTAGCTCCTAGTTCACATACTTAAGTGCATTTCTGTATTTTTCATTCCCTGTTACAGAGATCTGCATATTCTTCCAGGTAACTAATTTAAAATGCATGAAAAAAAGATAAGACAAACACAATTGAATATCTCAAATTTATACCATATGCTGGAACAGCACCTACCTGAAAGCAGCCACGACAGACTTCAAGTAGTACTTTCCCAAGGAGGAAGACTCATATGATTCTGCAAACTGACAGTTAAACAGTGGCAAAAGAAAAAGTAAGAAGTGTTACATTTTAGTGTGAATTTAATCTCTTATGTTACAAAGCATTTGTCTTCTTATTTATTCCTTTCCTCCTCCTTGCCCCCCTCCCATATTACAAGCATTTTCACAAAATATGTTAAATAAGGATCATAAAAGTGCATTCATTTCCACTAAAAAAAATTACTTTTAATTCACATCACATTTCAAGACCATTGAGAAAACTCTTGATAATTACCCATGAAAAAGAAGTCTTTATGAATTCATTTATATTTTTTCTTTCAGTTTTAAATTTCTGGCATATAATCTCAACATGAGCAACTTGTACTGTCTGTGCACAAAGCAGCTTTGAGACACTAGATTAGGTCTTTTGGGAAATACAGTCTAACAGAGAACTGCTTTGTATTTAAGATTGCTGTTAACATGTATCCAGGAAAGAGTACTGATCTCGCAATAGGAACTCCCGTAAGAAGTGCAAGAAAGCAAGCATTGTTGTGGGGGACAAGGGAAAGCGAAACAAAACAAGAAGTTGAGCATTGAATTTGAGCTACAATTTAAAAAAAAAAAAAAATCCAGGAAAAAATGTAGCAATGAAGAGTGTTTGAGTAAAGTAAAACAAAACAAAAAACGTGTTCCTAATTACTTTAAGAATAATAATTTATACATAACCTTGAAACCCCCAGGTTTTATTACCTAGGAATTGTTGGCCTTACTGCAAGACACACAGCCCCAGCAATCCAGCTATATTCCTAAAGCTGTAGAACACCAAGGCACTTGCTAGCTTCAAACTTACTATTTAGAAGAAAAAAAAATTGTAACTGGAGCCTTCTCCTCATTCCCAATGTGATTCTGTAATAAATACTTTTAAATTATTGCTATACTTATTTGGGAACTTACATAATTTTGGATTGCTTCTGCTTGCAGGAGGAATTTCTGTGACTTTGAATCACTGAGGTCGTTTGTGTAAGTCAAATTAGGAATTTCTACACTTCCACCAATATAAATAAAGGAGAAAGCCGGAGCTGACAAAGAAAAAGATAAGAAAATTAATTAGCACACCTAACAACATTACGGAAAATCTTCTGGAACAAGAGGCTGCAGAAGCATGTATTTGTCCTTGGCATTGGTAGGCATTAGTTCTTAAGAGAAACACCCAGTAAGAGCCAGAGTGGTGAGTCAGTCCCATTGATAGAATAATGCCCAGGAGGAAAGGAGAGGCATGAGGTATGGATTCAGACGGGCATTTCTACTACCAAGCTTTATTCATTAAAATTCCATTTTTGTCAGCACTACCCTCCTGGAGAGATGTGATTTTAACAGCTAAAAGCTGAGATCTAGGAAGAAATGTACATAAGTTAGGCACCTGTTCTGTTTTAAAAAAGCAAACAGAAGATAGGAAGTTAATTCCTATAGGTTCTTGGGAAAGATTACAATTATAATAACGATGGTATCCACAAGCAGAGACAAAAATTTAGAGGTAAAATACATCTTCATTATTCTTGTGCAACTATCAACTGCTAAGTGTTATGCAATTTGTTGCCTTAGCAAAGGCGTTAAGGAAAAGGGAAAGTCTCCTTTATAGACGCGTTACATGCTTAGCGCAGAGCTTTTTGTACTACTCGTTCACACAGTGCAAAATACCCATCCCTTCCAGGGGACTAACACTTACAGAACGAATAGTGCAGGACTAGCACAATTACTGCAACTATTAAAGAAGCTATAGGTAACATTCCTAGAAACCGTCTTCTCCAGGAACACCACCTCATCCATTTGAAGAAACAGTACTTCTGACACAAGCCTTCTTGGTAGGACGGGCAGTAGTGAATATGTGGACTTTCCTAGAGAATGACATGGAAAGGCATCAGTTAGTAAGACAAAAAAGAAGAGCTACTGTACCATATTTTAGTATATGTGCCCTTTTGGTTTTTAAAGAGGTTTAAGTTGAGATAACATCTTTCATGTTATCAGCTATGTCATGTATGAAACCCACATATTTCTCAGCGGCTTGTTTGTGGCATGCATTTCAAGCTATGTACAGGGGAGGAAAATTGCTATCACTTTGGTTAGGAGCAATTTGCATATGAAGAGCAGAGGTCAGTACACACCAGAATGAGCGGAGAGATCATTTACCGTGTTCCTGCTGCAAAGCTTAGCTGGTGCCTCTTACCTGCCCTGCAGTCTGCTCAGAGTCATATGGAGCTGGTATGCTGTACACAGAAACCCGGCTGGAGGGGAAAGCCCGTATCATGATGCCTTCACAGATGCCTTCTCACAAACCTAATAACGAAAGTCCTAAATGAACCTCATCTCTTAAACATAACCCAGAATAGCGTACTGCTCTCCCCGCCACGCACACCAGGCTTCTCTCATTCCACTTTTGCCATACTGCTTGAAGCTGGAGCCAGCTGATCCGCAATCAAAGAAGGTGGGGAGGAAAAGTTGCCATCACTGTAACTCTTTGTTTCCCTAACTGGCTAAGTAGGACGTGGATCCCGTCATTTGAAAACGGATGAGCTACCCACTTCTTTCAGAAATACAAGAATAGGAAATAATTTATGACAGAAAACAAAGGATGTGCAAGCAATTTACAGGCAAAAAGTCCCAGAGCAAGGTAAATAAGGCAATTTCTAATGAACACATGCTAGAATCCACAGAACTTTTTATGAGAGGGAAGAAATGTGCAATTCCACAGACCACCTGAATTTTCAAGCCTCAAACTGGTACCACAAAATAAATGTAATTGCAAAGCAATTCATGTTCACATTTCCGATTTGGAATTAAAAACAGGTTTAAGTCAGCAAGCCAACAAGTTCAGGGTATTCTGTGTGAAAAGTAAGAAAAATCAAGGATGCGTGTGGCAAAATAATAGATTTTATACATGGGGAGAGAGAGACAGAGTGCATGCACACGAAGAACAAAACCTGGAAAAACAAAACAGGCCCAAGAAACCTCAGTTCCAGAAAATAAAAAGGAAACAATCCAACCCCAACATTGATCACATGGAGACTATGAAAGGGATTAACTGGAAGGTTGAAGACAGACTGCTTTGTTCAAGTCCTCTTTTTTTCCAACAGCCTATCTCTGGTACGCACACAGCCTGCTGATTGACCGATACTTTGCCCTCTCCTTCATGGAAAAGAAACCCACATAAAAAGCCTAGAGGAAACAAACCCTCTTTTGCATCAGCTCCAAAAATTATTTCAGGATTTTTTTTAAACTAGATACAGTTAGATAACCTAATTCCATAGCAGTTTAATATACCTCTCAGAGGGTAGAAACATTGGGTTTATTTGGTCAAGGGCAAGATCATTGCAATAACCCACATCACCATATTTACTCCTCTTGTTAAGGTTGCCTGCAAATAAAAAATTCAAATTCTCAAGCAGATGAACTGTGAATAACCTTGAATACGGGGAAATTAAAGCAGGTAATAAAAGAGTTAGTAGCTCCAAACCATGCAGTTAATTAAAATGGAAGTTGGAGAAGGAGTAATACTAATGCTTTCTTCCATGCTTAACCACAGAACTTCTGATCTCCAAAAATGAGGGCTCTACAGATCTGAGAGAACTGATTTCACTTTCTGCAATCCCTCCTCTCCCTCCCTCTCTCTCTCAGCTGTTCTTGCTGGAGGAGCTAGGGAAAATAGTATTTGCAGAAGTACTAAGACTTGATTGCTACTTCACAGTCACTGCTGCATTGGACCATACGCATCTCGGAGGAAATGACTAAACAAGACTTAAGTTCTGTCTCCAGCTGGTCAGTTGTTTTTTCATCTTCTTAACAGATGATTGCACATGCACTTAGCTGGTGCCTGGAAAATGAACACAAAGTGTCAGAAGTTTATTATTGTACCTCCTCCTCTGACTCCAGACATCTGCACAAAACAACCACCACAAGATCAGTCTCTTCCTCTTTCACCAAGATTTGATAAAAGGGTATTTGTTACTTCCACATGTGTACTCCAGAATCAAATAATAATTTTTTTAAATTCCACCACTGAACAGTTTTACCAAATACGATTTTTAATGAAGATACCCAGGACATGTTATATTCCAGCAAAACAGTTTTCAAGTTAAAAGACTGAAGGTGCATATTTGCGAATCCATGGTGCAAAATTTGACACTTTTGTGTAGACACCAGGGAAATTTGGTCTTCCACATCCATAACCCCAGCTAACAATGCCAGTCAAAAACCATTTTCCATCTCCATTGCTTTGACATGACAATGGTCCACCGGAATCACCCTAAAAAGAAAATATTGAGTTGTACGTTTACAATACAGGTTATTAAAACAGGGAAAAAATTCCACAGAAGATATTTTGCCTGAGTAATTCCAACAGCAACTATATTTTCGCATTCACACAGTTCAAACCATCAGATAGTCAACATGGTTTTTTGTCTTGAAGCAGATGGGATTGTGCAGTGAAACCAAAATTTCCTCTTTCACAAGAAAGAGGACTAGCTCTTGCTCTTTGAATACAATAATAATGATATTGCATTTCATGGACTAAGTTTAAAATTCACAGTTAACTTCCCAGCCTCAAACTCCAAAATCTACTACTTAATATGCATGTTCATTTATAGGTTACACTTCTAAGGACCGCCAAATTAGTAAGATTTTTTAAAAAATTAAAAATTAATGTGATAACTTATTTCAAATTAAAAGTAAATGGAAACAAATTGGATCCCTCCATTGATTTGGGGGGGGGTGGGGTTGGAGGTGGCGATGTTTATTAAGAAGGTAAAAAAAACTAAGCGTTGTCCTCTAGTAGATACAAGCCCTCAGGTAACATTTAGAGGCACACAATGTCTTTTTAATTGGGGCAGTTGAAGTCTGTTATAGACTTCAAAGCTCTATACAGCATAGTATAATTCCATAATACAGGACAATGCGATTAGTACTCTTCCTTTATATGGTATTCTTGTAGAAATATATTGGCAGACATTCAGGAAAAAAAAAAGGTGCTATAATTTCAGGAAAATCTCTTGGACCAAGCTTATACTTTCTTCTAAGACACTGCTGTAGACACAACCTCTCTAAACCAGACAACTAGTAGCAAATTAAACTTTACCAAAACATTGGATGTGAGAAAGGTTTTCCAAAAGCCAAAGATCAGTTGGTTAACTTTGGATGTTTTGCAAGAGAAGTGTCTTCCTTTTAGACATATGTTTTGTTAGAACTAGCAAACTTTTTGCTTTAACTTTATAGGATCTTAGGATATGCAGGTTGGCAGGGACATCAGGAGATGATCTAAGTAAAGTCACCTGCCGTTCAGAGCTGAATCACCTTGAAATCACCTCACAAAACTGTTAAAGATTTAACCTAGAAGATAATTTTTTCCATCCTTCACAATTAAGATTTTGCATTGAGAGCCAAGTTTTCAACTTTTTTCTTCAGTTCCTGGGACAAAAGAAAAGTGGAACACCAGCATTTTTTCACAAAAGAGAAATCCCACAATTCTATCAGCTCTAACAACTTCTAGACACAGTCACACGTCATTTACCCTCACAGAAATGCAGCCAAAAGACCTGTAAATTATGCCTTTCCTTGGCTATATCTTGAGTGGCCAGAGAGATAATTGGAGAAACAAATTCTCCAGTTAAGCAAAAATGAGGCTTGATGTCAATGGTTTCACTAATCTCTAAAAAGCAGCTGTAGCAGTATACTCCCTCAGAAAGCCCTCAGACATTGCATGCCCTTAGAGTCATTGTGGTCTCTCTAGCTTTTATGTAGACAATAAAAGCTAGAACTTGAAGATTCCAGATCTCCATCATAAAAAAAAGAAACAGTAGGTTTACTACTATTTTCACAGTAAATTTACTATTTTAGTAATAAATATATATGGTTTATATAAGTGCTATATAAGATAATATAGCGTATATAATATAAAATAAGATACATAAGTATTTATATATTGTGTGCATGTGTATATGTATAGTTTTACTATTATTCACTAGAAGTAAATTCAGAACTTTTTTTTTATTATCTTTAGGCATTTTCAGATCAATTTTATTATACATTTGAAAATTTATGCCTAGTTGTCTTCATCTCATCAGAATGCCCTGTAGTTCCAAGTTGGGATAGAGTGATCTTGGAAAGAGGCAAGCTAGTTTCTCAGTTTTTTCTTCAACTGAGAGACTTTTGTACCAAAAAGTGCATGGTTTTAACTTGTTATTGGGACTTGCAAATTGACTGGCCCTTGGCCTGCAAGTGAAACTTCGTGATGCTATTCATATACATAAAGCAACAAAACTCTGAGAACACCCAGATGACAGATTTGCTGGTAGAGAATTCTTACATTGCTGTTCTACAGAACTGAAGTGTATGGACCACAAAGTGTTTTGCCAGTCAGTTCTTATGCCTTATCATGCTACAATGAAAGACAAGATAAATTCTATGCAAGGTGTGCTAAAATACATACTTTGCACCCATCTCTTTTCCCAGACATTAGTCCAGCACAAAACATCCTAGCTGTGATAATCCCATATGTGGAATGACATAACGTTTGGTCAATAATTTCTACCTCTGCTTTCTGAAGAATTGCTGAACCTTCATCATCTGGAAAACAAGTTGAAAGAAGGATGATTCAACAGAGCTTAGCATTTTACTCATCTATTGAAAGGCAAAACAAGAGGTCTTCAGATAATATCCCAGTTACATTTGACCTCCAAGTTATTCCAGATTCCAAACAACTAACTGCAAGAGAACAGAAAACTTCTTAACTCTTAGGCATTTATATAACGTTATCTTGGTCCTTTGGCCAGGCCACATACAATGGCATAATCACTATAGTTGGCCAAAAAGCTTTTTCTGATGCCTTTTGCAAAATGTCTCAGATTTCTTAATTTGTTCTCTTATTATTTTTAAAAGAAAACAGGATTTTACAAAGGTATTTGGAGCATCACAAGACAGATTTGCAATTAGGGTGGTGTCTCTGAAAGGGCTGAATCCGAAATTAAAAGTATGAGTCACAGTTGCAAAATGTAAATTGCTCTTTTGGCAGCATAAAAAACTTGGACATATCTCAAATTTGGCCCTCTGAAAATTTTGCTAAAATACCTCTTTTCTGTTCTGTAAAATATGTACTTCTGGAAAAACAGAATTAAACTGAATTGTCCCCTCCTTTCAATACAACAGCTCTAATAATAACACCAGTAACCCCCTACAAATCTGGATATAACCAAGGAAAATTCACCAACCCATTCAAACGTGCAAGTGCTGGTTTCAGAAAATATGCAAGTATTTTGT